GGAGAAGGAGTGGCGCACAACAGCTGCTGGTTGGTATGAAGACTTTGTTGGGTAGAGGGACAGAAAGATCTACTGAGAAGAAGGAATGACAGTTGACTGAGCGGTTTCTAAACGCTGCTGTGGCAGAACAGGAGGCCTTATGTGAGAGACTATTAGTGTGGGTGAACAAGAGATGAAGCGTTTTACTGCAGGAATGCAGGGATTGTTCAAAAGGAAGTTCCTCTCCTTTTGGTCCTTAAAAGGTGCTGCACTAAAGAAAAGATGCACAGTACTGAAGCATTCATTTCCACCAATGTACAGTTTCATAGGTTATGTGAAGGTTAGATTTTCTCAATTTAAAAATACTTTTGCAACAAAACAAGCTGAATTGGACCTAGGATTTTCCTTATTTACATCAATTTGCTAAAAAAAAAACTTCAGCCGTTTACTAATTTGATGACTGCTCACACAGTGAAATCAGTGCAAAATTTCTTGTCGTTTTAAATACAATCATTTAAATTGAACTTCTATCGGTCGGTTTATTTAGTGGATGTTGAGCCACAAACATGATACTACACTGTCAAAATATGTACTATGTACAAGCTTTTCATTTGTCCACTCGACTCTCAATCTGGAGATAATAAAGCTGCAGTGTTAAATGATGAGCTGTCACTTATCATCTGTGGTTTTAAATTGCCGGCGCAGCTCTGCGACCCAAATCCTGAGGTTGACCTACCAGACGTGCCAGATGCCTGTTTGCGTCCTGATCTAGGTCCGCCCCTCCTGCATAACTCCATTCATTGAGGGGTGACCTTTCACCCTTGCCTGTCAGTGCAAAAGCTTCAACCTCTTGCGGTTTGGGAGCGAGAGGAAAAAAGAGGCCGACACAACATGTGAAAACGGATCAACAAGTTCAGAAGGAATTCTTTTAAAACTAAAGATAGCACTGACAAGTTCAAACTACTGAATTGTAAGAAAGCAGTCACTTAAACAGCAGTGGATTGTGTTTCTCAGGAGGCAATGTCATGGGTTTGAATGTGGGTTAGTCATCCCAGACTAGATTGGGGTTGGGGTGCTGTTTCACCGACTCTGACCTTCAACAACCAGTTGTTGAAGTGAAGATTTGGTAGGTGTGATGGTCATGGCCAGGTGAATTTGAGAGGTGGACTTCACTCCCTCTTGCCCAAAAAGTCCCACTGACTCTTATCCAAACAGAATATCAGTAAATACAGAAGAGATACACCACAAATCATATCCACTGCCCCTCCCTTTACTGCCGGTTGCTGGTGTCCTGTTAAGCCAACTCAGTGTTTTCCATTCATGCTAGCCAACCGTGTACCTGACCAAGGACAGATAAGAGAGACAAACTCTTTTCATCAAAATAAAGTAACCCCTCCCCTGTTCATCTCATCAGCCCTTACTGTTTTTTTTTCTTGCTCATTTCAACTAGTCTCTGTTCAATATCAGGGTACTGGGTCCCATGCTGATGAGAATTGACAGGTTGAACATGCTTTGCTTTAGGGTGTGAATGCAAGAGAGACTTAATCAGACACAGGACTCCCTGAGGAGGGGGTGCAGTTGACAAAACGGGTGGGAGTTTTGAAAGATGTTCAGGGGGGTTTAGTTTTGTTAATCGAATAAGCACATGTGAGTAGGTGCATTGGCTCTTTCTCTCATCCTGCGAGGGTTTTTGCCCAGACTTGCTGAAGGGATAGTGACCTACTTTGCAGGTTTTGAAAACCAACAAGACAAACTGTGAAAGTGAAGAGTTTTGCACAAGATACAAAATGCAGAAAATTGAACCAATACAAAACACACAGAGGGGTGAGCCACGTCTTCCCAGCAAAAAAGTCTCCTTAAGCACACATAATCCTGTCACACAGGAATAGTATTAACTAAGCTGTTGGGAAACAAATGAAGATGAATGGTTTTGTTGACGTTATCTGAAACAGGGTACAGAGTGCAGCAAACACACTCCTGGTCAAACCCACTAAACGCAGAAGTTTGCAAACTTAACGGGATTGATATTTCAGGCACCCCTTCCCCATCGCTACAATTAAATAATGTTTTTCTTTAGGTGAAATTTCTCAAAATCTGGTTTTTGTGAAGTACTTTTGTAAAAGCTACTCATATTACTGATGAATACATGGGGGATGATACAATATTTTTTCTTTCATTTTCTGTTGCATTTAAAAATTCTTTCTCAATAAAAAAAAAAGATGTTTCATGTTTCTCTTACAGTTCTTAAAGCATAACATCAGAATCAGGTCAAATTTCTAACAAAACAAGAAATTTGTATCATCCAGGAAAAGTCTGACCAGTGGATCTCTAATAAATTGTGATTAATTCTACATCCTCATCTGGTTAACAAATAGAGTCAGAATTAAATGAAGGCTTGGTCCATTGAAGGTACATTTTAGTCACCCGATACACCAAATCCAAAGTAATATCTTTAAATGAACTAACACATTTTTAAAACAGGCTGCTATTTTGTTGATGAACTTTTGCTTTTTCAATGTACAAGATGTCCAAATCAAAGCGTTTTAAATTATCAATATCAGATTTCCGCAATTTCCGCAAATATTTTTTTTCTAAATCACAGTCTGTAAGAGAATTATTTTGACCATTGAAACTACTGTGATGTGACTTATTAAATGGAAAATTTCAAACCCACTACAGTTACATCTACAATGAAAAAACTATTAAAAACTATTCACCAATGTTTTGTTGATCAAAAGAAATCACTGAGTTTATGAAGCAGTGATTTCATAAACTTGGGAGCAAATTATCAACAAGTCATATCAAAACAGAAAGTAAAAATGCTAGCATTAGCTTAGCACTTCCGTAAACATCCCTACATAAAAACTTTGCCAACAGAAGTAAAACACAAGTTTGTTGCAGACTGTAGAAAGATTTACTTGAGTATAAATAGAAACAATAGGCTTTCCTGCTAGAAACTCTTGTGACGAAATATTTTTCACCATCAAGAAAAACGGATATTGTACAGTTGGAAAACTCAGTGGGGAACGAGTGAAGAAAAACACAGTCACAGTAGATCTTGTATTACAAATTAAATCAAATATGTTACTATACTTAACTTCAAATTACTGAGTTTTGAAGCATTTCCAGGGAATTAATCTTTTTGTAATTCCCTGGAAATTGCAATAATTTTCAGGGAAAATTATTACAAAATAGTTTAATTTTTCAATCACTGGTATCAAGGACAAAACCTTATTGAAGTTCATGCTAAATTAAACAGAAATTCAAAATAAATACATTGTTCAGCTGGCAGGAAAAGATGCCCTACATTTATACCGACTATCATTCTTTTCAGCAATTTAAGAAAACTTAAAGATAAACCAACAGAATCCATGAAAACATATCCATTTATAACAAACTTAACAGGTTTTGATTAGAAGCAGCATAGGGTAGAGGGGTATGCATCATCACTATGATATGATTTAATTGTAAAAAACATAGTTCCTTGACACTGAATGCAAAACAAAACACAACTCTTTGTCTGGAAAACTCACTGCAATACAGTATTAGAAAAGGCCAACAGTGCAACAAGCAGACTTCATTTTTATGACCACACCGTTATATAATATTATGCAAGCTCTCTTACAGTCTGAATAATGTCAACGCTGAATTTGTTAACGTGGTAGCAGTGTGCACAGTGAGATTGCTATGATTGTACTGTAGCCTTACATCTGGTCAGCATGTGTATGTAAGAGACAAAAATAGATGCTTTCTTGGCCATCATAGGCGCTATGTTGAATTTAAGCAGTTTGTTCTGATTTAAAAGTAAACTCAGTCTTGCAGGCTCCCAAGAGATCTTCACTCACAGCATAGTATAAATGATCACTGACACGTGAAATTCATGTGTTGAGATGGAAGTAAATGAGTGTGGTGTTGAAACCCCTTTAACCATACACACCCTTTCTCATAATATTATGTTTTGTCAGTGCTGCAGCAATATGTATTTTTTAAGTTACTTTGGAATAAATCTACTACACTGAGCTAACAGACAATCAGGGAACATATCAAGTTGTTTAATTTTTACACTGTACATCCCCCAGGCATTTAATAATCTCCAAGAGTCATTTGACAAACAGGTAGGGACTTGACACAAAGAGCAACCAATAGCTGAGTAGAGAAAACGGTTAAAAGCTTTAAAGCTAAACCGATATCCAATCCCAGTCCTCTTTCATATTACATAATCACTCGTCAGTGCATTAAGCTCATCGCTGCATGCTAGTTCTGTTTGTTTTTCAGACAACAGTCTGCATGTGTGTGTATTTTACACCAAGAAGGCTGTGGATCCAACTATATTGGAAAATGAAATGAAACAGCTAAAACAGAGGCAAACAACAATGCCAGCACATACAAGCAGAAACAATAATGTTTATCTGCCCATCTACATGAAAAAAGCAGCTAACACATCAACTGGACTCTGGAGATGAATATAACTTAAAACAGTCAATATGATGACTTTGGACTAATAAAAAACCTTCCCAAAAGCAGTTAAACTGACTTATCAGTAGCGTGCCTCCCCGTTTTTCCCCTCCTTCTGTCAAGCAGATTGAGCAATTCTGCCTCTGACTGCAAACTCTGACTCTCCAAAGGAATAGTATTTCGAAACTATTCTGGATGGAGCACTAAACATGCGGTCAGTTAACCAGTACACTCCCACACCATTCAGACCAAAACCACTGGACGGTTATAGGCAGATGGTGTATTTCACTTCTCTTAAGACCTTATGAACACAAGTCAGAGCTGAATGCACAAACTGCCAGAGCCAATTGCTTTTATGACAACAAAGTCACAGCCAAATTAGCCTCGGGCACAAGAGCCACACACAGCAAAATACCTCTGTGCCTCAGAATCCTATGAGCTGGCAGAAGGAGTGTGTTTCTGCTAAAACGCAAAATTGAGCTTTGTCTACAAGTTAAACAATGCGGTCCACAAACAAAACCAAAAATAAATGGGTCCACGACTGTTGCTGGCCTCAGTTTTCCTACCTGTTTCTGGGGACTGGGATGTGGGAGGAGGGAAGGGGTTGTATCTCCGCCTGTGGGACATTTTGCCCCTGTGCTGGCCTGAAGCTGTTGGCCAGCTCTGCCTGTTTTCCTGGGTTTCTGATGTCCAAACTTATGGAGCTGCCTGGCAACTGCCTGCCCATGCCAAAGCAGAGGGTAGGACTGGCCCTCTTCAGGATCCCAGTGGAACCAATGTCTTTTTGGTCTCTGACGGCTGTCTGGAAAATGAAGCAGAAAGAAACTTAACTTCCCTTTATCATTCCTAGTAGTTGAAGAACTAATAACCTGTATTTGGTATAATAAAAACTATTTTTAAAAATATATTGGAAAGTTGTAAGAACTGTTTCTCATTTAAGTGAGCTCAACCTGTTAGAAACTGTTTTTTTACAATATCCTAACTGCAGAAGATAAGTCTGAAAAAAATAGCATTTTTACATAAAAAATTAATTCACAAAACCTACAGTGCTAAAATGGACAGTTCAGATATACTGAAATTATGTTTCCACAATGTGATTTTCAGAAACAGTTCCTCTACCTGTAGTAAATAGATAACATATCACAGGGAGCTATTCCACCTGTTTAGTTGATGTTAGCAAGTTTGAACCATAAATGCCGCTTAAACAGACACTGCTAAATTGGTGGATAATATAACTTTGTCACTGTTTTGTTTTTTTTCACCATTACATTGGTTGACACTACCAACTGTACAAATATGCCTCTTGTTACTCATCATTCTAAGTTTGCCAAGAATCGAGTAACATTGTAGATATTTTGGCTGTTTGTCAGTTGTGGAACAGCATTGAAAATTGTACATTCCTGTGTTTTCCCAGGTCTCCTGAGGATGTTGATTAGATGGAGCAGCTGATTAAGTGGATTTATACAGACAGCAAGCAATGGCAATAAAACAGTAACATAGTCACTTCCATGCTGCTTGGCTGAGAAAAATCACAAACCCAGCAACTGTCTCTCATGAAAATATTGGTGCTTTATATCTACTATTCTTGCCCAATTTTCCACTGAAACATTTTCAGTTTGACTTGTTACAAAATCCCCAAAACAGCTAAACACTTGGTCTGCCTGACTAGCTGTTGGCATTTTGCCACTCTGAAGACTTCTTCATTTTTCTACAAACTCACCGCAAGTCACTTTTTTTTTTTTCTATTACAGTACTGGTAGAACTATTGCTAATATTTTCACAGAACCTCACTTCAGAAAATCCAAACTATCCCTTTGAGTCAATGCCAAAAACTATGTTAATAAACCAACGTTTTCAAAACTTTGGCATTCTGCCCCCACTTCTCTCTCTTCCAGAAGCCATAAAAAGTTCACTCACTCCACCCCAAACAGTACTGTAGCTTGCTCATATCTCTCTCTCTCTCTCTCTCTCTCTCTCTCTCTCTCTCTTTCTCTCTCCCCCAATGAATCATTAACAACTGTGATGGAGCTGTGTGTTTTAGGTGGATTTTAGCACAGAAAATCAAGCTCAGCATATGGCACGTGAAAATGGTCATACCATAGAATACATCATATTGATTTAACCTAGTTTCGTTTAATACCCCCCTCCAGCCATCGATCAACAGATTTAACCACTCTTCCCCACCCCCTCCTACAGTAACTATATACCTCCAGGGGCCCCGCCCCCAGTAAGAACCACTGACATAAACACGCAGCAAGGCAACGGTCTTACTTCCATGAAAACCTGACAGACACATTAACAAAATGAATCTATTATATGCTGCTGATAACATGTCTTTATTTTGTTCTTTTCAGAAAGCAACTAATGGCTAAAAAATGTGATTAAAATCCAAAAGTGATGCAAATAAAAAGCAGAAGCAAAGGACAAAATAAACAAATAATAATAATAATAAAAAAAGAATAATCATATAAAATCAAATTAGTATTTTGAAGAGTTGACGTGAAGGAACCGGGCCGGCGCAGCCAGGAAGCTCACGTTGTAACTCCACCCTTGTCAATGGGGGAGGGGGTAAATCATGTAGTTTAGAATCCCTGCCCCCCCCTTCACTGTAAACTTTGCTCACAGAATAAGCAACCATTTAAAGCGGTTAAAACACAAGATAAACACTCTAATTGACGCTTTCGTGAAACTGAGCCTTTAAAAAAACCACTTTATCTAATAAAAAAACATGTAAAAACGACCCAACAGCTGTAGCTGTCTCGTGCGAGCATCATGGTCGTCACCGTTACAAGCCATTTAGCGGCATATGTCAAACTATACCCTCATGTAAACCCCGTCTGACTCTGTGATATCTGCGTGGCTACGTGGGTATACTTTGAAAGCTTAGAGAAAGAACTCACTTTTTCCACGTTTTGTAATATTCCAACGCCCGGTGAGTGCCCGCTACCGACGGACGAAGTTCGCTCGTTTTTAACCGTCGCCGTCGAGCCTCCGTCCGTTACGCATTTGTAAAAGATGGGCCCCGCTGTGAAGCTGCTTTTTGCCACCGCTGGGACCCGGCTGTTGTAGCGACCCGGCCGGTAGTTGAAGTCCACGACACCGCCGACGCTTGTCCCGACCGACGACTTTTCCAAAATGCATTTGGACTCCATATTTAGTCACGGAGAGTGGAGACTAAAGAAAGAATGTCGGCTTTCTGTAGGGTTTTAGTGCAAATTGCGGGAATTAGATACATTTATTGGGATTGTCGCAGTTTGATAGGAGCTATTTGAGTCCTAACTTCTATTCTAGTCTACATGTGAAGTTTTTTCCACCGCTGCCGTCTCCGCCGCAGCCCAAGATATCCAAAAAGCCGCCCGGTTAGGAGGATAAAGATTGTTTTGCCTCTTTCCTCCAAACCAATGCCACGCCCCCTCATCTAAGCTCCCATTGGCCCGACTCGTACATAAACATGTCACTTTGGCACGCGTCCACATCGAGACTGCCTCTGATTGGTTGTTTTGCTCGTGTCAATCACGTTTTTTTTTAAGTCTAAGTATTGCGGGAGGAAAAGAAAAGGGGGCGTGAGCAACAGTTTACCGGCCGGTGTTTGTCGACGAAGAGCCGGCTGTGTTGAGCAGGAGCAAAACAGCCTTCAGCCCCAGAAGAGGCAAACTGCGCAGTAACCCTTATGCAAATTAACCGGTTACATAGTGGATCTAAAATTATGGTGGATACAGTTTATTTTAGCTGTTGATTCAAATCATTATGCTTTTTTTTTCTCCTCACGTAAGGTCGTGAAGGAGTTAGAAGCAACAAAAATAGTGTGTGACACATTGTAAGGAAATCCTGTGCATCTGGAAAGTATAGTATTTGCAGCACTTCACTTTTAACACATTTTGCTATGCTGCACCTTTATTCTAAATTGTATTACACCAATCTCTTTCTTGAAAATTCTACATAGAAATACCTCATGATGGCAATGTGGAGAATTTTTTTTTTTTCAAACGTATTAAAATGGGAAACCAAAGAATCACATTTAAGCCACAGCCTACACCTTGATCCACCTTTAGCAGTCGTTACATTCTCAAGTTTTTTATGATGCCACAAGTTTAGCAATCCTATCCTTGATTCTCAAGTTTCATCATATTGAATGGAGATTCTTGTGAGCCATTTTCAAATACAATATTTCCAGGGATGTTCAATGAGATTCAATTGAGCTCATTGGGACCTCCCAGTTAGTGGTACATTTTCATTTTCTTTCTCAGATTCATGCTTCAAGACGACGCTGTCTCAGAGGTCTGCAGACAATTTCTTAGATTATATTCTTGGTGTTTGACCTGCCCCGTCAACTGTTGAATCTTATGTAGATTTATATAATAAATTTGCTAAAATCTTTAAAACCTTTTTTACACAGTGTCATAATGCAGTATTTGTGTGTAGAGTTTTGAGCAAAGAGATTAATTTAATGCAATTTTGAATAATGTAACAAATTGTGGAAAAAGTGTAGCAATGTGAATACTTTCTGGATGCACTGTAGCTCTGCAGAAAATTGCAAGTTTCCTCTTGTGCATGAGTAAAGGGTGTAGTAGCTACAGCTGTGAAGCTTCAAATTCTTACATAATGAGTTTAAACAAGACACAACAAACTGGCTAATTAATTTAAAATTGATAAATTAATAAATAAAACTGCTTTGAGTTCAATGCAATCCCCTAAAGTTTCATTAACTTTACAATACTCTTTACCCCTAAAAGTAAAGTAAATGATTTGATAAGAAAATATTTGATAAAATCTCCAGCTCTTTTCAAACAACAATCTTCATAACATACTTCTGGAAATCAATCATTTTAAAACTATTACATACTCATATATTTTCCAAACAATACTCATAGTTTTCTAACCTATAGAACAGGATGCCATGGCTTCTATTGGCTAAAAAAAAAAAAGAAAAACGTTCTTTGAAAAAAACAAAACTAAACATGCCCTGTCCAGCAGTGTTACGCTCACTACTTTCACAAGTGCAGCACTATGGTTTTCACTATAATGCTCCAAATTAAAAATTGTTGTTGAATTACAACATATAATATGTTTCATGCAGTCCTTTAGTCACATCACATCACATTGAAAATAATGCAGTTCTTTTTATTTTTATTAGCATATTATTTAAAATCGTTTAACTGGTATAAGGACAGTGACGTCCTCATGGACCTGTTGGCTTACTTGTGTTTTGGAGGTCACAGTTAAGATTTTTTTAATTATTATTTTTTTATTTTTATGTATTCTGTATAACTGCAGCGAAACATCTGAGTTTTTTGTGGGAAGACTTTGTCGGTTTTATTAAAGTTTGAGGAAAAGTGGCAAAAAGACGCATGAAAAGACAGATTTCACTTTGAAATATATTTTGCTATCATCGTGAGACAAACTGTTGGAGCAGAGCAATGTTTTCTGGGTCAAAAACTGGAAAGTTTAAGAACTTCAGTATCACTGTAGTCTGTCCCAAGAGGAAGAAGAAATAAATATATCTCATCAGTAAGACATTTTAAGTAATCTCCATCCCTACTCTCACTCCATGACGTCATACTTCTACTTCATTATCCAACTGTGTTTGTACTGTCAATGTATATTTGGTAATGAAAATAAAATCACACCTGTTGCTCAATGATCCAGAATGTACACACCAGTGGTTTCTGCTTTATTGCCTAATCCCTCACAAACACATTTTATTGCATCCTGCTTTATTGCAAGATTGAGTTATTAATGTCAAGATGTAGCAAGAGGGAAAATATCTGGTGAGATGGACTCCCTCCGCAAAACAACTACCACAAAATGCAGGTAACACAAGCATGTTATAATGTGCCACTTTATTAGAAAAGTAAAAACTCACTTTAATATTTTATGAAGGGTAATATAAAACATTACAATCTTTTGCATATTTGCACTGTCACGCTATTTTATATTTATTAATTTTACTTCTTTTTTTTAAATTAAACCCTGTGCTTTAAGAACATACAACATTGGCTACAGCTGTCACAGCAGTACTGGCCCATATTTATATTTTAAGACAATTAATAAACAGCATCTGTATTTGCATGGAAAGCATGAAATGTTTTCTCTTTTTTTCATCCACAAAGTACTATGTATCTATGATAGCCATCTTTTTTTTCAGCAACAAATATACTGCATACTGCATGTTACATTGGAACAACATTAGAACAGCAACAGAATATTTTACACATTTACATCATCGTACTGTTTGTGCAACGAACATTTGTCTCTGTCAGTGAATAACATTGTTCAACAATGTATTTCAGATCAGTCCATTCTCTCAGGGTAAAATGCAACACATAAGGTGATAGCCATACGGGGAAAACATGGAGCGTGACAGCAATTTCCAGTCGATTTTGTTTGAGAGATCACTTCTCAGCTGTTGGCCATTTCTCATGAGTCAGACAGACGAGCCGCTGGATGCATTGCTGATGCGAGGCTGGGGGTCTGCCTGTCCCCCAGAGCCCCCTCCTCCATCTCTGTATTACTTGGAGAACAGGACATCAAAGGGCCCAGCTCTGTACAGCAGGAGAAAGAGGGAGTGTCTTCAATGTGAAAAACAAAAACAAATCAGGAAAGGGGCAAGCTCTCTGGGTCCGTGTCCATTTGCACTGACGCTCATCTGGCTTTACACTAGCTGTGCATTTCTCCCCCACCCCCAACCCCACTCTATCCCGCTTTCCTGCTCCCTCTGGGGAAAAGAATAAACAACTCTTCCATTTTCTCCCAATGGCTCCTCTCTATCCCTTCCTCTCTCTTTTGCTCGTTAAAGTTGCTGCTTTGGCTAAACAAAATGCTGCTTTTACAATACATGACAAAAAGTACAACATAAAATAGAAACGAGAGATAAGTAACACACTATTTGTTTTCATCTCCATATATCAAGGCATGCACTTACTTGCTCAAGCAGAAAAGAAAAGTAGCATCAACAACATAAATATACTCTTTTCATGGCAGTGGTGTAAGCTATTTAACCAAATGTATTGTCATTAGTTAGGTTAAAAATTAAACAGTGCTTCAACATACAGTGAGCATTTGTTTTTACATACTTTCTGACACAGTAGCATTTATATCTCTCTCTTAAAACCTCTTTAAACCCGTCCTTGTCACACAGCAAGTAAATAGAATATAAACTTAACCAATTCTCCCTTTACAGTATTGTAAAGAAGTATTTACCCCCAAAACAAAGTTATTTTATTTTAGTGTCTTTGTGACACACAAATGATCAAAATGTTAATATCAGTCATTGACAACCTGAGTAAATACAAAAGCAGTTTTCTAATACTGATTTCAAATCTTTCACCCCTTCTTATATCAATAAATATTTGTGATTAGTCACAGTCTTTTAGGCAATCTTTCACTTTACACAGCATGACCTGATTACTGCAAGAACCAAGAAAATTAGAAAATCACTTAAATAGAACCTGTCAAACACCATGAAGTAGGCCAAATGATCTAAACAAACAAACAAAAAAAAAGGTCCTTACACCAACCAGTCTGGAAAGGGTTACCAAGCCATTTCTCGGACTTTGGGACTAGGTAGTCTCACTAACAGCCATTATCCTTAAGAGGGGAAAACGTTGGCCAAGAACAGTGGTGGACATAGTAGGCCCTTAATGCTCAAAAATCCTGCATTGTTGCTGAGTAAAGACAATTCGACAAAGAAGAGCATTTTAAATTCACCCGTAGTGGTGTAAAAGATTGACAGATTACAGTCTAAAACTAGCAATAAGGTTTAAGACTAATATGTTTTCATAAGAGACCAAGATAGTTTTAGATGTTTTATTTTTTTTAATATTTAATACAATTTGAAAACTGAATTTTGTATTTACAGTAGGTAATTTGTTTAAAACTTGGTTCAAAATTTGAAAGATTGAAGTTTGTCAAAACTCCCCCCCAAAAAAGAGCGAACAAATCTATAAAGGGGCAAATACATTCTCCCAACACTGCATCAAGTCCTAAAAGTCTTTCTTCCTGCATTCTTTTTATAATGGTTCCCAAAGCTACCAGGGAAAGACTGTTTATGATGGAAGAGAACCCAGCACAGAAACTGGAAACTAGACCGGGGAGAAAGAGATGAACAACTTTTCAAAAAGACACTAAATGGTAATATTTGTGTCCAGCTTTATATTTTCTTTGGAGTCCAGACCCCTCTGTTACTATTTCAACCACAGGACTCAAGTCTGGTGAGCTACGTGGAGCTCTAGTTTTTTTTTTTTTTTTTTTTTGAGTGCTCAGAGCAAATCAAAACTGTGCTTTAATATTCCCTTCAGGGGTACAGCTAGGCTCAGCAGTCAGGCAGTTGTCCTGTGCAAAAAATACAGAGACTATGAAATAAGATGTTTACAATCCGCATAAGAAATGACACAAACTGAACAGACTGAAACATCCTGCATTGGTATTGAAACTCTTTCACTTCTTTATTTTCTTTTAAAAACCCTAATTGCTTTTACCCCTGCAGTACAGTTAAGCTCTCTCATTGGGAAATGATCACACTGCGGAAATTCTTGCACAAAACATTTGCTGCCCTCGACCTGATCACTTCACCTTGCATGACTGCCAAATATGTGTGCATCTGGGTGGAGGGTGGTGTCATCATGTCTCCAGCAACAGTTTGCCAAACGTGACGGTGCATTTTCAACTTTTGTCTTAATCTAAGCCTTATTGAGCAAAAGCTCACTTTCTAATTCTATCACGAGGGCTCTTACTAACAGCTGATACTGATGACAATTTGCGGAATGAAGACAATGACCGTAATTTACTCCTGTGCATTTGAGCGGGCCTGCAAATTACAGGGCTGTGTTTGAACAAAGCACCGCAAACACACTCCTCCAGATGACAGGTCAGTGAGCATCAGAACCTGTTTTATGTTTGCGTAGGTAGAGCAGAGCACCACAAATAACTGTGCCTTTAATGTGCTTATTGTCCACCCCAAGATGAGGGATATCTGTGCACCGGTGACCCGATTGCTTACCTTATACTCCGTAAACATCCACTTTCATTGCTACTAATGTCTATTTTCATGTCTACTATTGTGTGAGTTTCACAATGCATGCACATTTTTCTTTTTTTTTTTTTTCCATATATATTTTAAGAGTGTTCTTCTCAGGTTGTGAGTTGAAACACATACTCTTTCAAGAGTACAGTGTTCATATAAAAATAAAGATATAATGAAAAATGATGCACAAGTAGGTGAATATGGCCAGTGACACAGTTACATATATATATTTATATATATATATTTTTTTGTTTTGTTCAAATCTATTTGGTCCATTTTTGGGCTGGACTAGGCTTAGGCTGGTTCTGAAATGCAGACCAATCGAAGGAAGTCTGAACCTGGATTAAGACCCTGTTTGTACCTGATGTCAACACAAAATGGATCCTCATTGATTGTAGAGGGCCTGTGTCTATGTACAGCAACCTGCTTGAGGATCCATGAAATCTGGACCAGTGGATTCTACTACGGTGCTACAGGCCGGTGACGTACATCTCCATCCCATCGTTGAAGGTGAAGATGGTGGTAGTGCCAGAAGTGTTGCCTCCCTGTTTTACATCGCTAATGGTTTCATAGAAGTTTTCCCCACTGGGGAGGCCTCTGACTGGAGGAGCAATGGGCCCTGAGCCTTGTAGTGCTGCTGGTGCTGCCTGATGTTGCTGCTGCTGCTGAGGGGTTTGCTTCTTCCTCTTCAGAGTGGCGCTACCCCCACCTGTGCTGTTATTGGTTGCTCCCTGCTCACGTTTCCTGTGGGCGTCGATACTCGCGTATGCAGGGTCTGACTCAGCCACAGCAGAAGACCAGGACCGGTCCCCCACAGGCTCGTAGCAGGGTTCCTCTTGAGAACGGGCCTGCCCTTGGACGCCTCGGCCCCGGCCTCGGTTTCCCCTGTCCCCTCCGAAGGAGCGCGGAAGGGTTTTTGCTCCGTTGTGCTCCATGGGAGGTTTTTTTTTCTGGGTTTTGCACACGATGGAGTAAGTGTCTGCAATCTGATGGCACATACACACAGGACAAGAACACAGCATGGTGTCACTTAATGAGATAATAACACAGAACCTATTCTGTTGTTCACTGGTGACATATCCTGTGATAAAATTTCACTGAAGAGGTCATAAGGGCCAACGTCTCCACCTACTAATATGTACAGTGTCTCAAATCACTTGTCTGAATGTAGTGAAAAAAAAAACTAACAAACTGCTAAAACATTTATAAGTGGCTCCCTCTGCATTCATTTCTTAAAATTCAACAATACTGAACTTCTTTTTACATTGATGTAATTTGTCAGAATACAAATAAAAACTGCTCCCATTTGATTGATTGAATAATATTCATGCACACCACCGTTATCTAATAGACTCTGTTAAAATGTCCCTCCTGTGTCTAGAAGGCTGCATAAAATATTGTGGTGGGATGAAAGAAAATCACACACATTTTTGCTTGAAAAGAAAAATGAGTGTGGCATGCATTTGTAATCAACTTCTATTAATCACTGCTTTGCAAATATTTCTTTTGGTCTCATCTGACAAGAGCACCTTTTTCACCATGTTCACTGCATGGTATTAGCTGGTGGCAAACTGCAAACTTTTTAGAGTTTTTTTCAGCAATGATTTTACTTTTAGATCTTTGCATCCCCTCCAGAGATACCATGAGCTCATCAGCCACTTTTTTAGCTAAATAGCTGGCTGGGTTTGTCAGTTTAGGTAGACTGTTATGTTTTGGCAGGTTTGCATTTGAGCCATGCTTTTTCATATGTTATATGGCAAACTGGAGAGTGGTTCATGAAATGTTTGGATATTGAAGTATTATTTAACTCTGCAACTTAAATTTTTTTCTGCAACTGTATCTCTGACTCTTACAATGTGTTGGTTGATCTTCATTTTACTGCCCTGCAAAATAAAATAAAAAGTTTGCGCCTTCATATAACAATTGTTTCAGATGAAATTGCACACAGGTAAACTCTATTAAGTAATAAGATTAAATTTAAGCGAAATTAGCTGCCCTTGGTTTGATGTCAGAGGATATGGGGTAGAACACAAATATATGCCACAGTTTAAAGATTTTATATATAGAAAAGAAATATAAACAATATCCTATATTTTTCCACTTCACAGTTGTGAACTAGTTTTTGCTGATCTAAAATTGTACTAAAATATTTTTAATGTGCAGTTTCAACATGACAGAATGTTACAAAGTTCAAGGGGTGTGAATACTTTTTCAAGACTCTGCAGAATGCACATGCTGCACTGGAGTCAGACTGAAATTAAACATTTCTGCTAAATATCGCAAGTCTGATGTTCCTTAGTTAACTATTACATATTAGTATATAAATATCACTGGCATGGAACATGTGATAAGTGTAAAAGGATACTGTTGCTGAAATGGAATATGCAAATAACTGCCTGAGCATGGATTCTGTGTGTGTTTATGCACAGAGGTTTGCACATGCATTAACAGCTCTTGCTCTTTGCTGTAACCTGACCTAATTTAACCGAGCAGGATAAGACAGTGTAAACTCTGTTATCAGTCAGTTGGATTTCTAGTCAACAACAGTTAGTTGTGCAGTGGATGAACCTGTTAAAATTTCCACACCACTGCTTTGGTAACAGGGCAACAAAGCATGGACAAATTATCTGGACAAGAGCCAAGTTACAAAAAAAAGGGGGCAACAAGTTCTGTTTTCCTGAATGACCTTTGTAGGCATAAGATTTGCTGTGCATGCATTGCAGGTGTTATGACTGCATGTCCTCATTCATAAATGCGGGGCTTTTGCACAGGCTGTGTGCATACGTGCTTGCTTTGCAGCGATAGCTAGGGTTCATAACTGAAAAGCATGTGTGAGGAATTCTGATAAACCAGCTCCGCGACCTCTGGCATTTCTGTGTCAAAATTCCACAAGTGGTGAAAAAGAGCAAAGGATTGTGGGCCGTGGTGATGTTTACCCTCATCGTTCACACCCACACCAGTAGCTCTGCTCTGCTGGGCCTGTGAAACGCTGCCTATGCAGACTCTCTTTTTCCACCACACATACAGATTAACCTTTTTTTTTTTGTCCTGTCTCCAAAATCATGACAGACCTCCCTTTCATTATGTGTGCTCACCTTGCACTATATGTCACATCGATTGGTCGTGCTGGGAAAAAGTAAATAAAGTGCATGTGACTGAGACTTCCTCTGTGAGTATCTCTCGCCGTTTCTCTTCGCTCCTTGTGTTACAGGCAGAGCTGAAGTGGAGCACGCACACACCCTGCCCCCACAATTTTCTGGTGTGACCTTTTTGGATAAACAAAGACCCCGGCATAAGCTGTAAGTGTGTGCAGACAACGTGCTGTGTGTGTGCAAGTGCATGTATTTATGTGGACACAGAGTGTGCAACTCTGCACAGAGGAAGGAAGGAAGTCACAAGATGATGGGGATTTCAAAACTGAGCTACAGCTGGTGAGGAAGCCTGCCATTGTATGCTTTCTTTTCTCTTCTCTGCAGACTGTACTACTTTATGTTGTTTTTAGCTTCCAGCTCTGAGCAAGACTTCGATAAGCAACGCTTTCTGCATACAGCGGCTATCTGCGCCACTCACGCATCTGGTCGTGGCCGTGATTCTATGAGTTGCAAGGACTGCAGAGTTTTCAAAAGGATCTTGCGGCAGCAGATATTCATCTGCTGGGACACGCTTGATGCAACGTGACTGGTTGGGGAGGGCAGGGCCTCCTAATAGCCACAAAGGGAGTGGAGCAGAAGGAGTGAGCACCAAGGAGAGGAGGAGACTTGGTTGGGAGTGGAAACTCAACACCTTTTGATGGCTGCAACTGACAAACTCCAGAGGATAGGGGCATGTTAGGGCAACAACAAGATCTGACGCGAGAAAACAAAACAACGAGTGGGAAAAACATTAATACAGAGAGAAAGAAGTAAAAAAAATAAATAAAAAATTGTGAGATACTGCAAAACGCTGTCAAGGCCAGTTACTCCGTGGTGCATTTTGACATGCAGAAGAGCTCCAGGCAGGAAAGCGTAGAGAATTAACCCTTTAATTTCTACATAAATCATCTTTTTTTTTTCTTTTTCCTTTTTGCAAAACTCTTCAATGGCTTTGATAAGCTCATCAACACTATAATACCATTTATAACTACTGCTTTGTTATAACATGCCTTTTTAATCTTAAAGTGTTTAAAATGTTTAGTGTTTAAACTGAGACTGGGACTCATGGAGAACTGTGGTGATGAAGTAAAAATAAACACTTGTCTATTTTAGGGACCGCTGTACTATTTAGACTGACTGTCTCTGACCTGTAGGCAGACTGTTTACAGCTCACTGACTCAAAGATATATAGTGCCATGGAAAAGTAATCACACTTCTTTATAATTTTTAATATTTTGTCAATTTACAACCCAAAACGTTCATGTAATTTCAAAAGGATTCCACACAAAAGGCACAGATAGACTACAACACAATTGTTAAGTGGAAAAAAAATCTCAAATGTGAAAAGCGGGGTTTATTTCTTCCATTTTTGCACATCTAGATCTGAAACTTTAGTCCAGTACATCTTTACAAACTAGTACAATGTTAGTCAGATTAAATCCAGAGTGACTGTGAACATCAGTTTTCAAGATTCCCAACTGGATTTAGGTCATGTGTTAGGCCAGGAGTCTGGAACCTTTGGCCCCAGTATTATCCATAAACGGATAATAGATAATGCCCCATTTTAATATGCCTTTTAATATATATGTGTGTGTGTGGGTGTGTGTGCATGCGTGTGTGCATGCATGTGCGTTTTCTGTCTTACTTTCTTGTAAAACCTAAAAGTACAAATAAATAATTTTAAAAAAATCCTTTCACCATAGCTCAAAATAATAATCCTAAATTTGAAGTTGTCCTTTTTAACGTGTCATGATCTTGGGTTGTTTTGTTACATGTGTTTCACCTTAGTTATTTTTTGCTTAGAGTAGATCATACATTTATATTTTATATTCTTGTTCAGTTTGTCCTTAGTAATTTAGTTAGATCACGTTTATTATTCATTTATTGTGTTTAGTCTGTCTTTGTTGCTCCCCTGTGCCATTCCTCACTCTCAGCTTGCAGCTGTGCTCTTTCCTCACAGCTGCATTGAATTTGAAATTAGTCTTGCGCCACTATTCCAGCAATCAACCACCTCAAGTAATTAACCACCTCTCTTTTACTTTTCCTCGCTGGTTCCTTCTGTTTGCCTCATGTTTTCTGGACTCTGTTTACCCTCTGCTTTTGTAAGTTGTTCTATGAGTTCTTTAGTATAACTTATTTCATCATTTACCCCAGGATTCCGGTTCCCATTTGATCCAACTTCATACACATAAAACATTGACACATTTATTTAATATTTTTGGCTCTAAACAAGTTTGAATTTAGTAGAATTGGGGGCAAAAATGCCTGTTTGGATTGTTACGTTTGCAGACCCTGTGTAAGGCTTTTCCAACACAAAAATATGCAAATAATTGTCCTATTCACAGATTCTCTCATTTAGGCTGTGTATCTTTGCAGCTCCTCTAGAGTTATCATGGTCTATTAACTACTAATGTAAGACTGGTTTAAACTGCTGCACAACTGTATTATAATACTGATTGCTTGGTAAGAAACCCTCCCAGGAGTTTGCACAAAAGCTGCTCTCAAACTAAGACTTCACGTAAATTAAGTTTCAGTTTGAATTTTCTATTCTAATTGCATAGTTTGTCTGAAACATAAACAGATGCGTGCATATATTTACATATACACAGACACAGTATATAAACAGATGCCCTATTTAAACATAACGGTATCTATTCTGAGCTATGATTAATACTGGACAGCAGGTGACAGCCAGCCGTGGTCTGTGCAGATAAATGCTGAAGGCCAACAGATGAATGGGGGGGTTGGGCGAATGAGGTCAAGGTTCAGGCAGGCGGTGGGGGTTGTGGATCCATGTAACATAACCTCTTTCTGTAAGCAGAAACCACGTACGGCAGGAAGGTCGTGAGGCAGCTGTGTTACGGCGACGTACCCAATCAAAAGGGTGCCGGCGTCGGTAAACACAGCAGAAATCAGAGACTGAATCTCCTGCCTGCTTGGAGAGTTCACGGCCAGCCTCACATTGATTCTTTCTTCTCCCAGCTGTCACTAAAATCACATGTATCCATTCACAAATACACATGCTGTAGATAAACTACCTCCTTTGCAGTTGGAGGCGATGGATGCCCTGGCTGTCCATTCTCTCCCCGGAGTGGAGGTGGGTGCAAGGTGATGATGTCGTCGTCCTCCGGAGGCTTCCAAATGTACTGCTCCCCGTTGCCTATGAACACCGCTTCCTGATAAACAAAGTCAAATGATGAGCTTCATAAAGTGCTGCTGTGAGGTTAGAATCAGTGAGCCATTGTGCAAAGGTACTCAGGCAAATAAAGGCTCTAATGTTTTAATATTTCCCTCTACATCAGTTAAAAGCAGATGAACAAAAACAAGTGAATTATTCATGTGTGTTTCCAAGAAATGGCCAGTAGGAGCCAGTCCTGGATTGGACAGGCCCAAAGTTGGATTGGATCAGGAAGATTTCAGTTCTCATTTTTATATCATCTGGGTTTGGATGAATACGAACTGGAGATTTAATGTTTTAAACATGAAGACTTATAATTGGAAATAAAGATAGTTAAAGTCTATCAAATTTCTATCAAAATTAGAAAATCAAAAAGGTCAAATATTTTGTGTGATAAGAACCTTGATTTAAAAACTATGACTGAATTCAGGTTTTTAGTTTATATTTTTGCTTAATTCTATGTATCAAACTCAAAAATAACATAAATGTTAATGATATCTATATAATAAACAATATGTTTCTATTAGCAGCAGGAGCATTTCTTGTTATTTCTAAAAACCAAGAGTTTCTGCAATATTATTTTGAATTTTTGCTGTTATAAACACAATACTGTAGAAACAACACTTTGAAACTCAGTTCCAGGCTTCACTTGTCCTGCAAGTTAATTTTGACTGGAAAGCTTTGAAGAAATAGTAAAATCATAATTTTTTAGATAGATATACATCCACCCATACCATACTTCTTTGCTTCCTCCACTCCTTCCTTCCTTCCATCCATCATCTTACACGCTGAGCACTACTGGGTTAGAAAAGCACGCTGGTGCCTATCTCCTGAGAACAATGGGCAAGAGGCAGGGTACACCCTGCTCAGATGGCCAGTCCATCACAGGCTAAACATGCACCATGACATAATTTCAAATGCCATGGAATAATGGCCTTTTGGATAAAAGGTTGGTTATTTAAATGACGACCAAACAAATGTCAAAAAGAGTTGTCGATTTGTCTTGTTAACAAGCAGCTGCTCTGACGGTTGAAACCTGAAATTAGCTGTCCTCTACTTCGTGGCTCTTCAGATGGAGATTTCAGAGTAAGTTCTGTGTAGTCATAAGAACAATATTAAATTACTGAATAGCTTTTTTTTAAGGCTTAAATGGCAGCTTCGTGCTTTAATGTTTTTTATTTTTATTTTTTATTTTTCTCAGTTTCTCCTTTCTCTGCGACCAAAAGTTCCAAAGATATTTTATGCAAATCTGCAAACTCAAATATGTCTTGCTGACAGACAAGCAGACCTACTGGCACACAGACAGCGCTGCCAAAACATAACCTCTATTTAACTCTGCTGGTGGATGGTGATTTCTGAGAGACTTGAGGAGAGGTAGAGGTCAGATAGGAATCTGTATTCAGGAGAAATGATTGGGCCTTTTATAGAGTTCAACTGCTGCATTTAGCAAATCCTGACTGACAGGCAACAGTTGACTTACTCTTTCCAATACCTTTAACATTATCTGGAAAATATTACTGTGCCTCAGTGGCTTAAGACAAACCTAGATGTCATAAAAGAATGACCCAACATAACACTTCTCTTGCAAAACTTTTTATAACTACAGGTCTTAAGAAGAATTAGTAACCAATTAGGAACCACAAATTGGTGAACACACATGTGACTGAGGATGATTAAACTTTTATATGCCCACCCCCCACGCAGCCTGACTGAGTTAAAATAGCAAATGGCTTCAATATGTGCAGAATATTTATTCTCATTCAGGCTGCTGGCTACCTGTTAGCTGTTTATAGATAGACTTGCTGATGGATTCAACAGGAGCACTCCCACTGACACACACACACACACACACACACACACACACACACACACACACACACACACACACACACACACACACACACACACACACACACACACACACACACACCACCAGGCAGCCTGCCAAACTCTTAGATAATCCATGCTTCCACACTTTGCTCTAATAGCGTGCTGCACTGCATGATGCAAAGCGGGCAGGAGAAAAGCACACACACACACATGCACCCACACGGAAAAAAAAAACAAAACACACTCTTTAAAGGTTTGTCACATTCATTAAAAGTTCAGGTCAGTAACAAATCACATCAGCAGTGACTTTATCCTCCATCTTAAGCGAAAGTTTTGGCTTTGCTTGACACAATAACACAGATTCATCATAATTGTATTGATTTGTTTTCATTCTTTTGATAATAAAATGGATCCCTAACACATAGAAAATATTTTTACAACACAAATTTGACCTAACTTAAAAGTTGTCTATGTATAGCATTTAGTCTGAGACATAACTGAGATGTTGAGGAACCCGGTTTGCTCTAATAGCAGCCTTCAGCTTGTCTATATTGTTGTCTTTGCTGTCTCTCGTCTTCCTCTTAAAGATGAAAAAAGGGGAAATTTAAGCCACTAAAAGGGGAATTCAAACCACTGAGCAAAAGCCCATTATTTTTTCTACTTGGCTCAGGAAAGACACACTGTTGCTTCTGGTTTAGAAGAAGCTTTTACAGACATGAAGTGACGTGTGCAGACGATATGAGTTCTTTCTAGTGGAAATCAGTAAAGTACTAGTTCCTGTCCTCGCCTTGCAAATCATGCAAATCTCACCAAACGAGGCTTTGCTTCACAACCCTCTGTAGTCTTCACCTATCTCTGTGTTTTGAACATATTCACACGACATATTTTTTCCTTTAACTTAATATTCCAATACAATGCTTTGGTACAGCAGTTTGTGAACAGACTGCTTTTTCACTTAAGAATTTTGAGAGAACCGGAATAACAGTCAAGTCAGAACAGACTTCCTCACAATTGGGTAGATCACAAAATTACATTCATACATAAAAAATACTTTTTAAAAATTGTGTTATACAATTTTCTGGAAACTGAATCTGATTTTCATTAGCTGCAATCCATAATCCGCTAAATTAATTGAAGTGCTTAGAATACATCACTCTGTGAGAAACAAATTGAATATGTTTTATTTTTGAACGGAATTTCTGAAATAGAACTTTTTTAACCCTCTCCAGGCAGGTGTTGCAGATTTGCAACAACTTAGCCAGTCTTTTCAAGTAATTTGAGCCTGAGAGGATTAATGATAATGTAATTTATCGACATCTGAGTATATGAAGTATGTGACAGAGCAAAACAATGGTTTTTGTGATTTTATTTTATGTACATCATTCGAATGTTCTTAAAGTGAATTAAATTTAATGGGATACCCACATTTAACCTACATTAACTATAATATATTTGTGCTCTAAAGCTATGAAAACTGAGAACATGCCAAGACCAGAAAACCAGTTAAATCATATTAATCTGCATGGCTTAACATGTTTGTTTGTGGAGACTGCCCTCTTGTGGTCATGAGGCTCTCCTACAGCTGTCAGAATGTGGCTGGTGGAGGAGTTTAACATATATTTGAATTAGATATGATTTATGTTTTTGTTTTTTTTGGTACCTTCGGGAAAGAGTGCAGATGGAACGGCTCCAGCGGCTTGCGTGGAAACTCCTGACTGCGATGTAGGGGAAGAGGACCAGCGGAGGGGGAGTTGCTCACGCTCGACTGGCTGTCTGACATGCTGTCAGCTCCATTATTCTCCTTCCGACTTAACTTGTCTACCTAGAAATTTGTATTGTGATTGACAAAATTATAGTCGATTATTTTATTGAAAAATACCATAAAACTTTTCATTTTTATTGTAGAAGCAGTAAGTATTAAGTGGTGTTGCTTTAACAATATAGGCAGATTTGTATTTATTTTTCAAAATATTTTACCCAAAAGCAAACTGGAGTTTGCAGCTCTTCAAAGTCTCTAAAGATAATACAGCAACTGTGACACCTTCACATATGCCTGACGTTAATATTTCTTTTTCAGAAGTGAAATCTGTCACACTATCACTGTTACAAATTATTCTGTCTACCTTTTTAAACTTCCGTATGGAAGCATATTCAGCTGCAGCTGGATCTTGATTGACCAGGGAATTCACAGAGGACAGAGGAGATCTGCTAACGCCGCTCGCTTTGTTTCCTCTCCCTGCCATGGTTCCATTAGTGATGCCGTTTCCTCTGCCATTTCCTCTACTAGCCTGTAAACAAAAACACACAAGTTAGTCTCTCACTGATCATTTGTCTCAAACGTAAACAGAGAAAGACAACCGATGCAATGCATCCTGAATGACCACCAATCCCATTTATCTTATTTAATCACAGAAGTTTAACAATATTTTTTAGTTCCTAAATAAATATGTTTTTAAGCAAACTCTACATATTTGTGTTTGTAATGGGAGGAAAAGCCTTAGCTTTGGCATGACTTCCAAAACACCAGTTTGCATGCAGACAGTGCCTAATGGTTACTATGGAGAGCTGGTTGGATGGCACTTTTTGCAGCAGTACTCCAAAATGGAGATTTTTTTCTTAATCTCCCTCATCTTCATTTTTATTTTGTGGTGGTGATATTAAAATGGCTCCTTGAACTGAGATGGGAGTAGAAAAGAGAAATGTTGTTTTTATAGAACAGGGAATAAGTCATGGGTTAATTAAAAGTCCAAGAAACTTGGAACTTTTAATAAGAATAAATACATTTTAAATGCACTTTTGCAAGAACTTCCGCTACATTTCTTTTGTAGACACGGTTACTGTGCCAGGAGTTGTGCCAGTGACTGAAAAAAAAGAAAAAAATCAATTTGAATTTAAGGTTGAATTTTATGACTTTTTTGTAAAACGTTGATTCAATTCAATTTGTATTTTTTTTTTACATTTTTATCAAGTGTGCTTAAAAGTGTGGAGGGTGCTGTACAATACCTACTTAAAACAAATCCAGTTTGAGGTTTCACAGTCAATGAGCAACATTTCTTTCCTCTTAAGTTACAGACTGTAAATGCATCACTGCTTAATGTCTGTATGTACATACGTGTCCTTGCTCGTTCCCACTGCGGGCTCCTCCTGAGAGAGTGGGGGGGCTCTGAGCGGCTCTGACCGTCGATGGCGTGCTGCTTGATGACGTCAGCGGAGCAGAGGGCACTCTGGGAGCCGCTTCGCCTTCCCGGATCCCGACGCTTTCATACAGACCGTCGTCCAGGTAACGGGTGGGCGTCGGGTTGTTGCGCAGGCCGACCTCAGTGTAGGTGTGGTCTCTGGCCTCCGCTGCGCCGCCTCCACCTCCACTCCCGCCTCCGCCTCCTCCTTCACCTCCCGCTTCCCCTCCGCCACCACTCCCTCCGCCTCCCTGGCCAGACGCCTGGGGGCTGGTGGGGATCTGGGGGAGCTGGCGGCCATGGGAGGGCCTCAGGTCCGTCTGGGAGCGCCGACTGTGGAGGAGCAGGAGGTCCATGCTGGCCGGGCGGCTCTTGCTAACAGCTGCACGGAGACAGGGAATAGAAGTAGAAGAAGACATTTGAATAGGCACTACTGAGAACGTGTAACAGCTCAGATGTGTATATTATTTATTATCACACTGAACCTGTTAGTTAGCACTTACAGTTTCCATTGCAGGGAAAGCGATTGATCTCATGCAGCCTGGTGTCAGATTTACTCATGGAGTTCAGTTTTGGATGCCGAAGCGTACCCTGCTGTCGCACATACACACAGACTTGTTAATGGAGGCATAAAACATGCAAACACATGCATGTGCATCTGTTAGAAGGGAGGTTAGAAGGAAAACAGTAGAAGTGGATGGTGACAGGCACAGGGGGTGGTTTTGAGAGTGATGGAGAGGGGCCTGTAAAATGAAAACACGTCTCACCATATTTACAGATGTCCCTTTGTCTCCAGCCGGGGGGTGCTTGCTCTTGCTTTTTCTGACACGACATCAAAGTGAGGAAGGTCACCAGAGGCCCATGGACAGAAAGAGAAAACACACACACAGAGAGAGAAGATAGATACCATCAGCATCTAACTGTGGCCAGGGCATAGAAGTCCTTGGTTGATAACAAGAGCCCAGTCGAACAGTGAATGGAGCATGACTCTGGTTTTTTATTGAGGCAAAGACGACCTTCATTTTCTACACGTAGATAAAATCAGATAAAATTCACAAATGCTCTTTTGTACTTTGCTCTATTCTGCCTTCAGGTTGACGACTTGTAAAACAAATGTATTCCGATAAGTGTTATGCATGCGAGCAGATCCCTGGAGGTGGCTGTAACTACAGGAAACAGTTGATATGGAGCCAAAGCAACAAGACAAAGTCAGAGAAGAAGAGAAAAAAAAACTGCTTTGCAGGTGTGTCTGTGAACCGCGCTCCTCCCTCTGCCTCTTCTCTCTCGCTTTGGAGGGGTGAGGCGCCTGTGCATCACATAACACAAGAGATCCTACTGCTGTGCTGCAAAAACACAGTGAAGCAATAAATAGAATTTCAGGTTTGCAAACAGGTGCAGAGTCCCTGCTGCGTCATCCTATTATGCAAGTCGCTGCAAAGACTGTGTCAGATCCATGTTACTGGAGCACGATATTGTCTCATCCGGCGAACTGCAACCACTTTGTACACACATATGGTCACCATGCCCCCAGGGGAATGCTGGGAAGGTGAAGAGAGCTCCCCTGGTGATTTTCATAATGATTCAAAGAAGGGGGTTTACAGGAAATGATGACAGTGAAGCACAAAGTCAGAGAACAGGTACAATTATTATATCAAAACAAAACTCTCCAACAGCTTTGCTCATTTGCAGACTTCAGTTTGGTGCTTATTTTCTTTGCAAAGTACAGTAAGTCAAACTCAGTCAGACTAGAAGCGTATGCAGTCTGTGAATATCTAACTTTAAGTCTTGTCAAGGACTTTAAATTAGATTTTGTTCTGGAGTTTAAATACTTTCAAGTCGAATACATAAACATGCTGTGATCCCATTGTAAATTTTGGGATCAGAGGATGATTGTGATGCTAAAGTGCGTTCTTTCAGTATATCCCTTGATTTAGATTCCTCCAACATTCCCTCAAGTTTGTCAAACATAAATGTTCCTGCAGAGATGGATCCCCATGGCATGATCCTGCCATCACATTGTTATTGGACTTGTGGATTTAGAGTAAAGTGAAGTGATAATTTTCAAACGTTTTTTTTATGTAGGTCAAAATGTTTAATGTGGCCCATGCTTTCGTCCACATATTTAATGTTGCTTTAGATCAACATTTGTTTTGAATGTGCAACTAATAGCTGTGCTGGAAAATGTTCAAGGTATGTAGCTGCACTCAATTTTATATACAAAAAAACCCTGCAATGAATACAAATTTAATTGCATTGCTGACTCTGTTTTAACTTGGATATGACAAACCAATCTGGATCTGAATCAGCACTCGACTGTGACAAACTGGTTATGCACAAGAAAACCACTGAACATGCAATTCCATCCAGCAGGGAGCCTAAATTCTACATTATTCTTTAGATGACATAAGATGGTTTGACATTTCTCTACATCCAAATATGCATTTACCATGGCAACACAGGCACAATGCAGCTGCTGATTGGTCCCTGAGGATTTTGAAGAAAAAAGAAAAAAGCTCCTCCCTTGAGTCTGATCCTCTTTAAACCGTGGGGTGTCCCAGTGAGCGTGTCTGCTGTGGAGCTTGCTGGAGAGCAGTGACTTCGGGCAGCTCTTACTCTGACTTGCCTCCCCCTCACTGTCCTGTAAGCATCGGTTCATCTCATCTGACACTCACAGCCATTAACATTCATTACTGCCACTGTGCTCAAAGTCGAGGATGAAAGAGACGGAGAGTAAATGGACAGAGGGAAAGGAAATAATGGAGGAGGGGAGTTCAGAAGAAGTAGGGAAACAAAGAGAAAGGAGCAGATAATCAGAAGAATCTGAGGGTGCAAGGGAAGATTTCAGCACATTTGCTAAAACTTTGGCTGTTATCTCTTTCTCTTTCTTTTCCAGCGCTGTGGAAAAGCGTCAACACTTTGTAAACCTTTCCTCTTTTCTAACTTAAATAAAACTGAAATATTTTTTACTGATACTATACGTTCACTATCTGAGACAGCACACCACACACCATGCACAAGTTACACCCAAATAGCCAGCCCTACCCTCTCTTGTTGAAGTAATTTCAGTGAAATGCTTTACTTAGTCTGTCCTTACTGGATTTATTAGTAAGTGATGGGTCACCGTCATGTTGCAGAGTCTGATCTGCGTCAGCTTTACTTTTTACAGATGGTCTCACATTTTCCTTATTCACCTGTGTCAAACAGTAGAAGTCTTTGGGAGTTTTATGGTGGCGAGCCAGCCACGCCCTGCTGCAGCAAAATATTCTCAAACCATAACCATAACACTTCCACCTCTATGCTGCCCATCTGTCTTATTGCCCCTGCACATCCCCCACATTTAAACTTCTGTCTCATTTTGGTTCAACAGGCATGGACTTCCATATCAACAGTACCACGGACCTTACGTATGTTTCCTAATGGAGACTTCTTTTTATCAAATTGCCGCCTACTTTTAGAGCATGCCTGTTTGGACAGCCAGACCCGGACGTGTTGGTAGTTGTTTTGAATGTCCTCCAGTTTCAGACTATTTTCCTTACAGTGGAACGGCTGATTTCAGATTCGTCTAAATCCCTCACCAGACTCATAAGCTCCTGCAATCTTCTTTCTCAAGGCCTCAGACAGTTCTTTTCCAATTACCATGTTGTTTATTCTAATTTTAACAGAGAGGAGCAAACCAAACTAAATGCCCTAAACTTAAACAGGACAAACCTCCTTAAAATGAAGTAGTGATGTTGTGATCACTCTGTTTGTTATTTTAACAAACAACACAACGACTCTGCCTTGTGTTGATGTTTTTAAGGAAGAGGAGTTTCTGGGTGATCGGGCATTTATTTCCTGACTCTCTTGCAGCTTTCACAGACTGGCCAAGTTCACTGTAACAATATTTTCAATGTACAATGAAGAACACTATCATAAATGATGTACCTGAATGAGAACATATCGGGCTCGGCTCAGTACAATCGGCTCTGTTTCACGCTGCACTCTACAACAGAGCATTGCATTAGCATTTTTCTTTAGCATGCGGATGTTTTGCAACATTAAACAAACTGAAAGTACAAAAGTTGGTTCCAGGCACACATCCGGTAAATATTCATCACACTCCATGTACATACGTTCATAAAAATTATTACTTAAGTGTTTCCAACGCTTTTCTACACGGTGTGCTGAAAAATGCAACTGACCTATCGCATAACTTACACAAAGAGGGGGCGCTATTTCCCATTGCACTGATACATAAAGCAACCTAACACTTACACTCGCCAGAATTTGACCATTTTTTTATTTTTAAAAAAACTTCAAAAGATCTTTTCTATTTTATATTATAGTCTTTATCTTGTTCCATTATTATAACTGATATTTTGAAGATAACACTATTATCTTAGTAATATTAGTCTTTGGATATGTAAAAAAAAGGCTTTCAAAGGGGGAGCTCAATATTGTCAGTAATTTCATTGATTTTATGTGACTAATATCAGTTTTTAATTAGTTTCTATTAAATTTTATAATGATAACAATTAATGTGCACAATGTGATTTGTTAATGCACTTCTGCAAGGCTTTTTTCTCATTAAAATTAACAGCCTTACCTTTGGCAACCCACACAGACGAGGACGATAAGGATGGTGACCACAAAGGCAGAGGCTGCTGCGATTGCTCCCAGAACCAGCAGGTTTTGGTAGGGGAGGTCTGAATCTTGGTCTTCCTTGTCAGCCATGACACAAACTCTGTCTTGCTCACTTTCAGTCAAGCGCCAGTTCTGCAAATCGGACCTTGTGATCAGGAAAACCTGCAGGGACACAAGGAAAAAGAGAATACATGAGTGACATGGGAGATAAAAGGAAACAGAAAAAAAAAATCACAGCATGAACCACAGAGAAAAATGGTGTCTTTGTGTGTGTGCGTGTGTGCGTGAGCATGGACACACTTGCCTCTGGCTTTTTATCACTGTCTTTTTCTGACATATCAGTTTCTATTTTTGACTTTCTCGAATAATGCACAGAAAATAGAACACCTTGCAAGGAAGCAGCTAGCATGCCAAAAACACTTTGATCATCCTTTCTCTAAGCCTGAGAGAACCTTGTGTTAGTTTAACAGGGGAATGAAGACACAACTGGGCTCCTTATAGGCAGCAATAGTGGGACCGCATGCTCTGCGGCTGTACTTCAGCTGGGGGTATGAATCGAGTCACAGCAGGCTTAAGCACAGAAGACAAGATTATGCATCATAGTAATATTGCTGCACAGAAGATAGGAGAGCATGTTTACTCCAAGTCTGTTCAGCTTTCTGATGCAAAAACCTATTCCACGAACATACACAATTCTCATTTATGTCAGACAAGATTAACTCTGGACAGATTTACATGCTGGTCCTACACGACTGGATTAGTGGAGATAGATTTGACTACTATAATGAAAAATGTAAAAATCGCATATATTATTTTATTCAAGCACATTCACAGTATATTTTCTTAACAAAGTATTGAAAAGAAACAGCCTCTAAACCAGGTTATATCTGCAGTAGCTTCCTATTCTCCCCAAACCTTCTCTAAAAGCAGCTCAGGTTTACCCAGCTGCGCTAACAAGCCGTCATTATTCCAGCGACCTACTGCGCTCATGCAGTCAGTGCTTCCATAATCACAGATTAAAGGAAGTAAAACAAAAGCAGGGCGCTTTAGTGATACATGTTGAATCGCAAACGTACACGAGGAGTGTGACAAAGCAGGAATAATGTTTTAGCATCAACACTTTCTAGAGCACAGGCGCAGCAGCAGAGTTCCTGCAGATGAATAGACAGTCGGCTGTTGGTTCATCACATTCTCCCAGAGTTAAGTGAATTCATTTAACAGGGCTACAAAACAATTTTTCTACCAAATAAATTACATTTGCAAACTCCTATCAGTGTCCTGATTGCATTGACTTTTAAGTTTAACTAAGTTTAGCTCCAGGAATGTTGTTTTTTATTTGTAGCTGAAAAAAAAACAAGTGATTTTGCCAAAGATACACTGATCAATGGGCCAGAGGTTGAAATTGGCCATTATTTTTTCTTGCTTGGCTCTAATCGGTAATCGGTAGGTCAAACAGTAGATGTGATTTTTTTTCTCTCTCTCTCTTATCGCTCAACTATTAAATCCTTCAAAACTAAGAACTGTCATTATTTTCAGTCTAAAAATACATAAACCAATAACATGCATTATGATGCACAGATCAATAAAAATTATACATGGGTTTATTCAGTTACAATGACAATGGTCTTCATATTGCAGGTAAATTTGTAATGAACAGACATTTTTTTTTTGCATTCACCAACAGAAATATGGCATTATTATCAAAAGCAAGCTGTGCTTTCACCATTTTGGTCACCAATATTAATGTTGACATTCTTTTCTAAATTTATCATTTCATCTCAGTACAGGACTCTTTTCTGTGTGTTTTTAATCTGCTCTAATCTGGTTTCTCTCTATTTTGCTATGATGTCACACAGAGAAGCAGTGTGTTGTGTTCGGAATTAACAGAAGCATACAAAAACGTATCACACCTAGCAAATGTTTTAAAAGTCATAGTAAGGTATGTATGTATTTTTGACGGAGGAAAACAAATAGCCTCCTCATGTCTTTGGCTTTTAGTAAAGAGAAATAATTTTGGTTGGGGTGACCTAAAAGACGAGAAAAAGTCAGTCTAGCAATGCAGGTAAATATTTTGATTATTCCAGAATTGTTTTAGCCCAGTAGCTATTTTTGAAGCTATTTACTGATTTCTGAAGACTGACACTCATCTGCCTTACTTGAAAGCAGTGAGTGCTTATTTTTCCCATTTTGAAGAGTATCTCATTCAGTTCATATTAATTCTCCACCTGATATGTCAAAACTTAACTAAGATTATGGTGAAATAACAAGAAATGTATTTCCTTTAATGCTATTAAAATATATTTTTACCACAAGTGACTGAGAGCCAACCAGTGAATTTGCTTATACAAATAAGAACACATTTCCTCAAATTCAAGCATGTTTACATTTCTGATTTACAATGAGATGGACATAGCGTGCATAAGCAGATCATGACATAACTCATACACAACTGCAAGTTTGTGGGGGAGAGACTGTGGGATACACAACTGGTTCTGACTCTGGGTTTCTATTTTTGCAGATAAAACTCCACCTTTTTTTTTTTACAGTTATTTCTTCTCCTTTTGATTTCTCTACTTTCTCTCTATTTTTCCAGATACCCTCTCCTCCTCTTCTTCTCTGTCTGCCTGCCTGACCCTGCAGATATGTGAGGCGATGCACAGCGAATGAATTAACAGAGCAGCGGTCTTAGACAGTCCTTTATGCCAGAGACAGACAGGCAGGCAAGCAGAGGGAGCACACCACAGAGGAAAGATGGGGAAGAATGGTGAATGAAATGGGGAGAGAAAGGGAGAAGTAATCAGACAGGAGTGAGTGAGTGGGATGAAAGTTGGTGAGAGATGCAAGGAGGACAGGGAAGAGGGGAGCTCACCTAAAACATGAAGGAGGAGAGAGGAGGAGAGGGGATCATAAACAGTGGGGGAGGGAGAAGAAGAAAGATAGCGAGGAGACTCTAAAGACAGTGAAAGAAAAAAAGAAAACGGGCAAGCCATGGGAGACTGTGAGAAAAAAAAACAGGAGGAAACGAGAAGGAGGTCATCACTGGTATGTTTCTGTGTGCGATTTGTCAGCCTCCTCCTGAAAAATTCAGAGGAGAAACACATACGAGGGTTGCCTTTCCGACAAGCGTGATGCGAGATGGGAGCACATGTCTTCACAGCATGCAACCCTCACAAGTGGCGAAAAGGACCGAGGACTAGGGGAGACGGCTTCTGCATGATGCCCCTGCAGCTGCACGCTCAACAGTGTAACACGGTCAGGGTGCAAGAGTGTTTATTCCAGCATCTGTCTTCATTTTGCAACGTTACCAGCAAAAATGATGACAGTGGTAACGGCAGCACATTGAGAGTGATGGCAGGGGCGGTGATGGCACTACTGATGCCTGCTGGGGGCGATTATGATAAAGATGTCAATGATGATGACGATGAAGATGGTGATGAAGAAGGGTGCAGCTGCTAATACTGATGGAAATGAGGGTGATAATGAGGTCAAAGTGAGCGCTGTGTAGACACACTGCGGGACGGATGCAAGCAGCAGAAGAAAGGAGGATGCAGCAGTGCAGCTCAACCACAGGGTGGAAGGTTTCCTCTGAGATCACACACGCCCAGCACAAACCAGAACAAACGCGCACAAAACGCACACAGCCTAAAGTGATACATTGTGCCACCGCCAATCTAACAGCAATCTTCTTGTTTCGCAACCACTTTTACCGACTTACCTTGAATGTGAAGGAGGAGAGGCTGCTGCAGGCTGATTATTGTTATTTATCAATATCTGACTAATTTAATTTAGTTTCTAATCTAGGTTAATAACCTTTACTTAGCCAGCTTTGTCCCACTGAGATCAAAAGATCATTTTTACAAGTGTCATTTGGCCAAGACTGGCAGGATACAGAAAGACAGAGAAACAAAAAAAAAGAATACTCAGCTGCAACAAATCATTAAATTTAAACTTTTGGCTATAAAATACAGTTTTGATACAAATAATTTCTAGTCTTTATCTTAAACATATCATTCTCAACAGAGAGTCTGATGAACATATTTGCTGACAGATGTAGCATAGTGTTGTTATTAAATCAGGTCTTCTCACTTTTGACAGTGTGAGGAGGTGCATAGTCCTGCTGGATGTAATGAAATAACCGTGATGAAGAGCAAGGAGTGCTCAAAGACTCACTGGTTGACGACTGTGATGACTTTGGATTTACTAAATATGACAAGGCTCTGCAAATCACCAATGATTGCAATGTCCATATAGGACGTTGAACGCCTTTCTCTAGGCCCAACAATCTTGATTTTTTGGAATAAAAGGAAATTACATGTAATTGTATCTGAAAAGACGGCTTCTGCACCTTGAATAATTGTCACTTTTCACTTTAGCAAACATTCCATCCATCCATCCATCCATCCATCCATCCATCCATCCATCCATCCATCCATCCATCCATCCATCCATCCATCCATCCATCCATCCATCCATCCATCCAACCACCCATCCAATGCTTAAACAAGTTGTCATAACATCTCAATATGACATACATGTCAAACATATAATGCTTGACAAACTGGTTTATCAACCAATGATCAAGCAACTTTCTCAAACAGGTCAGCGGTATGTCTCATGGACCATCAACTGGTAGTATGGTATATATACCTGCAGCACAACGCGAAATTACATTTCTGGACATGTATTTGGATCGGGTCAACAGCCAGAGAGAAAAGGAAGAGGAAGAGGAGCTAAGCTGTGACAGAGGAGATAAGAGGCAAAACAGAAGAAGAGGCAGAAGAGGCCAAGAACATATGCCATCGTCGGTTTGCGATGCAGAACAAGATGCTGATGGACTAGGGTGAGAAGAACTCACCCTAGTCCTCATTCCTTAGCCCCATTGAGAATTGTTTTCTCAGCATGGAGATGGAAAATATGTGATTAACAGCCATACACACAGATGACCCTTCTGGCTGCCATGGATGGAGCATGTGATAACTTCATAGCAGATGCCTGCAGAGGCTGGATAACACACTCTAAGAGATTCTTTCCGCACTACAATTGCAAGCTAACAACCTGGAATGTTAAAAAGTGTAGGAAGATTGCACTGCAATTTCTATGGGTCTTCATGCATTGGTTTTGTATGCTTTCTTGTATACTTTTGTGTATTTATAACTTAAAAC